GCTGCATAATGGCAGGGCAAAGAACACCTGAGCTTAATGCTACATTTTTTACACATTACATAGCAAAATCACAATTTATAGCATCAAAAAGACTGAGGTATAGCTCTGCACAGTATATGAACTCCAGCAGCTACAAATGACTTTCTAAAGCTGTGGGTGGACCAATTCTATGGCTAGGAGAAACTACCCTTTCTTTACTCACTATCTGTGATTAAATATTTACAAAGAGCGCTGCGCTGAATCACCCGATAAGGGCTGGCTTGCTTCTTCATGATGACCAGCATTAAGATCTCAACTCATGAATGTAAGCTCCCACTCAAGCAAGGTATCACCAAGGGAAGAAATTCAGCAAGGCCCCTTATCATCCCAGTCCTCCCAGTTAACTAGATAACATAGAATGTAAGCACCTATATCACTTGTCATGATATAGGTGCTGCATTCTGTAAAGCACAGCACAAGCACGAGATAGGCCTTTCTAAAGTGTTTGCGATTGGCTTTTATACTCATATGTGCCATTTTCTGTTTTATAGTCTCCAAATCATGTACTTTATCATTTTTCTGCAATTTCTCCAAAGCAAAGTAACAGCGCTGCAACTCGAACACAGACTTTGAGATGGATTGGAGAATGCAATTAATTAATAGGAAGCAGGTAGCCCATGACAAGGTGACATAAGAATTGGAAAGGAAACTCATTCACTAGAATAGCAAACAGGTGGACTTCTCTACTGGAACTGAAATAACTGTGAGGTAAACAATTCGACACCGTAAAGCCTGGGGAACAGAAGATGACAGGGCTGTGAAGGGTATCAGGAGTTACAGACACAAAGTTTGAACAAATGAAGGATGTCCAATGCCAGGGCATTAGATGCCATCTTCCAACACAGTCACTATCTTTAAGAGAGTGAAAGGTTGATTGCCTCTAAGGAAGACCGAGGCCAAGAGGACTGTTTTAAAACCACTTTAAAAAAATACAGCGATACCCAGTTTGTTATAGGTTTCCTTTACAAAGCACATGTCCAGTAATTTGAAACATGTTGACTTGCAGAATGGACCCAACTCCTTCTGGGAGCATGGGTTCCCCATGTCGCACTTCAGCCAGGATATTCCTTGACTTTCAGAGGAAGAAAGCCCCGGGGTTGCTAGAAACAGGCTTTGTACTGAACTCCAACTCCATTCCCAAACATTAAGGCAGTTAAGCATCACCACATGTGAAAACCCAGTCCTTTTGCTTTTAAACTGTGTAAATTTTAATATAAAACCACACATTACTGCTGGATTCAAGTAGATTCTTCAGCCAGTAAAGTTCTTCTTTACTGCAAAACCCCAGTTTTGGTAGCTGGGTGCCAACTTGCCTGAGAACACCATCCAAACTACCTGATGGAGATCACTCACTGCCTCTGGTGTCGCTCTCAGTGACACACAGCCCACCCTGTCAACTGAGTTATCTTTGGGGAAAAAGTCTGGGAACAGGTAAGCTTAAAAAGAAGGCACATATTAGACAAAATAAGCTAACAGAGCTCTTCATTATAAAAACCAAGAGAGATCAGTTTTCTTCCTAAGGGACAATACTGCAAACGATTCTAGAATATACTGTTGAACTTGCAAATGCAGTGCTCGAAGTTTGAACTAGAAACCAGCTCTTGGCCTCCTAAGGAGAGGAGCACAAGGGCCCTTGTTCAAAGCACAGGCTTCAATTCTCTGCCTCATCTCATTTCAAGCAGAAAATCTGACAAAAGCAACGTATTATCAGGAAACGAGGGGGTATTTACCTAATCAAATCAAGCATGTTGTAGCTACATCTGACCTGCTGCCAGCCTGAGCTGCCATGTTTCTGTGGCACAATACAGCATTTTGCAAAAAATGCTTGATTGGCCCTGCGTGTAATACAGCTTTTGTTGCTCGATACCAAGCAGAAGCAACCTATGACTTTGGATTGCAGAGACCATACAAATGCCTCCACACTACAGCGTCCTTCACCAATTGCTAAATTAAATTGCTTTCAGTCAGAAAAAACCTTCCTGGACAATTTCTGACCAACTATAATATTGAGAATATAAATGATTTTTTTAATTTGCACATTGTCTGGAGAGAGGAAAAGCTGAAGAGGCAAACAGTAACCTGTGATATTAACTGCTTTATCATGTTCCCAATGAACAGCAGAAACAGCAGAAAAAAGGTATCACAAAACCTCTGAAAAACATGAGTTGGCACATTATCAGAGTAAGTAAGGAGACAGAAGAATAAAGCACAGCTCACCTTGACAAGGCTGACAATAAAATCATCAATAAAATAAACATACTTAAAAAAAAAAAAAAAAGGAAGAAAGAAAAGCCACAACAAGATATTTCATTTTCAGATTTTTCAGATTATTCAGAACAGGTGGTTTTGGATCTTCTAAAAGCACTATTGATTTTCCATTAACATATTAACATTATAAGCACAACAAAAGGCAGCTGGTGTTAGCAAAGAGAATCAAATCACTTAGGAGAGGGACCTACGCGTTCCCTGTTGCAGAAAGAAGTCCTCTTGGCACAAAGAAGCCAGAAAATAATCTTTCCCCAGCTTAACAGAGTCAGCAACCACTTAAAGGCTATCCTCAAGCCACTGCAATTATATTTCCAATTTCAATTGCTGGTCTAGTCATCTCCTCATTGCAACTCTGCCATTAAAAGCATTTAGATTGTCTTAATATTCCCCAAAAGAAAAAAAAAAAAAAACAACTCTGCAGTAAACTACGGAGTAGCTTCATGCCTTCATGCCATCTGAAGAGGAGCCTAAATGATACTTGGTTAAGTAACTGTTAAACTGTAACTATGCTACATTTACAGAGCTTTGCAAAAACGCAGTACTTAAAGGACTACAGAAAAAGATTATATTTTCCTCTCACTGAAGTATTGAAAGCAGAATGTACTCTGCTGGAAATGAAACGGTGGGCGTTTGATGGCATATTTTAAATAGTATTCCTCTTTGTGCATGCAGTGTAATGCCACCCAAGGGGGAGATTAAAAAAAAGTCTGTAATTTGCAAGTCCATTTCAAAGTCATATTGAGGATGATGTGAAATTCAGGATAGGGTTCTTGAGAGAAATCTCCCTGGAAAATGTGTATGTACCTCAGGGAAGCTTTGGATTCGCTTCCCCACACTGGAAGGCTGTTCTGTCTTTTGACATTTCAATGTTGTTTAGTCTCTGCATCTAATTCTGGAGTTATTGAGTGGCTTATTACAAAGGTGTATCTTTGACAAACAATAAGATATTTCTCTTCTACAACCACCAAGATTTCTAAAAATCCCTTACTATTCATCTTGAACTTGTATTGTTAGCCAGGATACTTTTACAGTTACTTTTACAATAAGGGATTAATCCTGCTGTCAGATATTATGGAGGTAACCAACATTTACACATGTGAACGACCTTCCTTCTTGGCCCTAGGAAAAACAGGATTGCCCACATTGGTCTGATCATTCTCAAAAAAATGCAAACAATATCATGCTTTAAGGCTTTAGGTAGTCATCAGCAAGGATTAGGAGGGAATACACTCCTTAACAGGCTCCTGGCTAGATGGGTTTTCTCTTTCCTCTGTGTTGCCTTCCCTGAGGCATTACAGACTCGCCACAGACGGATCAGGGGAGAGGAAAAGGGTAAGATCATTTTCCTGAGGTCAGATTCTCTTCCTCAGATGCCCAAGTGAGTGGATGCTTAGGTTCAAATTCATCACCAACCCTGATGTCAGAAAAGTGTCTTCCCCTGGGTCAGATGAGGAAGGAGCAGGGATGGCTTCTGTCTTTGCTGGTAGCGCATAACATGGCTTGATTACAGAGATAAGTAACTTGGTTGTGTAATCACATCGCCCTCATCAAAAAGGAGTACCAGTGATACCACAATCCTTCCTGTCTTTTTCCCATGGCCACAATTTGTACTGCAGAAGACTAAAGTGCTTCAGTCCAACACTGAAGTCTTTAGATTTAATCTAGCATGGCATCAGAGTGAAAGGAAAAGCATCCACAGAAGACCACAGCATATACTCAAGTGATTTCCTTTTCCCTTAAATTCTAATCAATTTAATTTCACTTAATTTTTCCCATACAGAAGTTAGACGTCTATCCTTACTCAGCCTTCTGTGTTCTTCGGTGTTAGTGGAGTGTAGCATTAACCACTCTCCAAACCCGCACCTTGAACTTGGCTCACTAACCACAAGCGGAGCCATGACAACAAAATTGGACAAGAAACCTACAGTTCATATAGCTCAAAGCAGGGAAATGTTGGAAAAATATGAAAACATGGGAAGAAAGGGTCTGCAGTATTTTATGTTGATAATTACTGCTTCACTTTTCAGATCAAAGAAAAGAGTGACAGAAAAGCTCTTACGAGGATATCTAATCCAATACACCAAGATGATTCCCTCTACCAGCAAGGTGCTGGCACAGCCGTGTCTCACTTCACTCTGCACCAAGGGGTTTTTTTGTTGCTGGTATGAATGACAGATTTTAATCTGGCAGTACCTTTAATTTGGTTTGTGCAGTTAAATGAAGATAAAAGTGTATTTTGCACTACAAACAGATAACACGGGGCTTTTTTTAAAAAAAAACTATACCATCCTCTAAATATGTGACAGACACAGCAGCTACAGTCAGACTATTATTTTGCACTTTGATCAATGCAACTTTGCAAGCCTCTCATGCCAATAATTCTCTTCATTTGATTTGGTATTGGGTGAGATTATTAGAACAAACCCAGAAAATTATGATCACAGTGTATACTCCTATAGGTTAAATTTTAGCAGTGTAGTAAACTATAAACAATAATCTTGCTGCTTCTGTAATAATGCAAGAGCACTATATAGACTGTATCCATATTGCTTAGTCTGAAAATAAACATGTACAAATTAAATAGGACATATATCAAATAGATATATACACAATTCATTTATGGAAAGAAAGTATTTGTGCTGAGAAGAGCAAGAGTCCAGTTTTGAGCTAATCAAATAAAGACAAAACAACATAAGCTTAATTATTATTATTTTAACATGTTAAAAATACAGTCACATCAAAATAGGATACACAGTTTTAAAACTGTTGCAGATGACATAAGAAAATAGTGTGTATATATTTTATATATAAAAATCTACAGTATTTACTAATGCTGATACATATTTTGGAGCCTTGTGTTGCTTGCACAAATAAATTGTACAGCTTTGTTATGAATTACAGAACCATCATTAAACACTGAGATTATTACACTTAGCCACAATATTATATACATACATTTCTAAGCTGTTGTAACCAATTAGAACTAAGGTAAGCCCAAGTCATATTTATCTTCACAATTTTAGTTTAGAGTTTCAGTGTAGTGCTCTGCTACTGTTACTTTGCTGCAGTTTGCAATTTTTAAAATATAAAATTGCCCAGTTCATTAAAAATTACATCAGACGCATTATATACAGAAAAAAAAGTTTTTGAAATATACTAAGTAAATGTTACTTCCATTTGTAAAAATTGTTTTACTTCTGTACCTTAAAACCTACAGAGCCAACCTGCAGCAATAATAGGCACTAAAGCTCATTCATTGAAGGGAAAAAAAAAATCAACTTCTTTGTTTTCAGTTAACAAATCTTACAAAACAAAAGATAACAGGACAACCTTCCAAACCATCCAAAACCGGTGTTGATACCAGTGTTTGGTACTTAAGTATTAGAAAAATCTCTCTGTTAAGCACTCCAAGGACCTCTTCTGGTGAGAAGGTCAGTGCATTCAGCACTTACTACGCGGCACCCAGCAGCTCGCAGGACTGCATCCCACATGTGCCACTTAACCTGCTTTTTTCTTCTTTTCCACCCCCATTTCACAGTCAAGGAAAGGAAAACACAAAGTAGAAAAGGCTGCAAAGACCAATTAAAAATACCCACGTTACCAGGAGTCTAAGCTTCCTATTAACAGTCAGAATCATTTTAGTGTAAAACCCCGCACAGTCTTTCAGCAGCCTGATAGCACAGCAGCACGTGCCCAATCACAGACATGAACCTACTGGCTCTTTGGGGTAAAAAAAGGGCAAAACAAAATGGAATTGACATGACAAAGCTTAAGAGAAGGGGCACTGCATACTCACACAGCTCAGGGAATACCAAGCCTTGACCAAACCTCAGAGTCCTGCGTGTACTTCACAAGAGTGTCGAGGAGCTGGTCGTTCCCTGATACCTGTGAGATTTGGCCTTGCAACCACTTTGTTTAGTTTGACAGCATAGCACGGCAAAAAGTGAAAGGTGCAGCACCATTTCTGTATCTGGCATTACTTTCACTGTGCTCCAGTATTTTGCATATAGGACGACATTCTGAAGGTAGATTTGGGTGTTGAAGGTAAAAGTTCTCCATTTGCGATGCACCTAAAAAACTAAACACTGCCCTGAATTTCAAGCACCATTTCTTAGCCAGATTAAAGAGACATTTTTGGCTTTCCGCTTTTGCCTGCCTGCTCCTTCTTGCTGAGGAAAATGACAAACAGTAGTCAAAGGAGAGGAAATAAACTCTCACATAAAATTAAATTAATAATCCCAAAGCATCTCTCCTGCCCAGAACAGATACTGGGATGCTGAGGCAGATGTATAAAAATGACAGAAATTCCCATTCAAAATGAATGGCTTCTCAAATAAATTATAAAAAAAAAATTAATACGAAATAAAAGTACTTCATAAGCTTTGCCCAAAGTTAAATGCATTTACATTTAAACTCTTTAGCTCTTTTCCATATGTATTTGTGTATTATAAGTGCACACTCACACGCACGCATACACACATCTATACAGTGCATTAACAATGTCAGTCAAAATAAAACTTGTAAATGTGTTACAGGTTTTAGGCAGAAAGATTGTAACACAAGTTATCTGAATGTAAGGAACAATGACAGTATTAACCACATTGTGTATACGACCTTATTGCTATGTCTATGTGCATCAGATCACTTTCAATAGCTTAAATGCAAGTCTAAGAACTCAACTAGCCTTCAATGAAAGTCTGAAACATCTTTGAAATAGTGTTGTCACTTCTGAGACTCATGAACTGTCTGCATTTCATAGAAGAACTGAGGTGGATTACTACTAACACAGTAATGTTTAACTGGTTTTGGATCCTGCCATTTTACTAAGTATGGACAGATTCTCAGAGAAGCACGGATTCGTGCATAGACAATCCATCATTTCTACTTCGATAGTGTTGGGCTTGAGTTGATGGGCTTGAATATTGGTATTGTGGTGAACCACAATCTTCAAAGGTTGGTGAAGTCCTGTATCTTATTGGACTATCCACAGAAACAGCAGGAAGACTATGGTCTTGAAAAGGTGTTGACTGAAAATGCTGGTAATTCTGGAAATTATCCAAGTGGCCTTTGTTAACGTCTTGGATCCAGGGCTGCCTGTAGGGTTCATGTCTGTAAATATATGCAGCATCTGGCCACTTCCTATCTTCTGGTAAATAATCCACTGGAGGGATTATGAATTTGACACCTGTGGGGGATCTTGAGTTGCTGGTATACGCATCGACAGGGGCTACTTCTATCTGACCAGGGGCTGGTGAAAGAGGATTTTGGCGGTTGGCGGGATAGGAATTAATTTGTAGTTTATCTGGAGAATAATCCACTGACATAAAAGAACCATATGGCCTACCAGAAGGGCTGGTTCGATTCCCATGATAATGTAGAGGTATAGAACTTGTATTGCCTAGATTGGAAACGTGCTTTGGAGAATTTCCATGGTAAATAGGTGGATTACTATAACGTGGCAGTAGCTGTTTTACATTCAGTCCATGAGGTGGTCCCTCAGATTGTGAAGAATATTTTGGAGACCTGGGTTGTGAAGCGAAGGTGTAGTTATTGGGTATTTTTAATGGAGTTGGTACTTTTTCAATTTGCTTTCTTGGACTATTAGAGTATGTCACATGCCTAGGGCTCTGCGGACGAGCTCTCTCAAGCATCTCTTCAACAAGATTCTCATTCTCAACTTCTGGAACATTGTCATACTGAGATGCATTAGACCCTCGCTTACCTTCATCAGCATCCAAAACCCTCATCTTTTGCTTTACATTCAAAGGCTGTGTTTCTCCAGGACTTGGTGGTGGGCCCAAAACTGAATGGTTTATTGGCCTTCCTTTTACCTCTGAAGTAAGTTTCATTGTCTTTTCAATTATTTTGATATCAGATGGTTTATTCCACTTAGGTACAAATTCCCTTCTTGTATTTGAAGTAGCATTAGAATTTTGATTCGCAGCTGCATTATTATACTGTCTTGAGTTGTCCTGCTCTGTTGACTGAGGCTTTCTTCTGGTATCTACCTCATTCTTAGGCATACTACTTTGTGCCTCTATTGGTCGAGTTTTCTGCTGTTTTAAGGAAGGTTTCTTTTCCAGTGAATTAATTATTTTTCTGTTATTTGGTGAACCTTCTGATTCTTCTCCTGGGGATGACCTCCTCTCTGTCCTTCTTGTTGTTTGTGTACCAGTGCTGTTCTGTCCATTAAGCATTGGAGTGGAATTAAGTATAGCAGGCTGAGGTCCTGATGGAATCTGCCCCAATGGCTTCTTTGGAAATTCGTCTTCTTTACCTAGAACAAGAACAGTAATAACATAAATTCACCTCTGTACAGAAGCCTTCTTCGATCTGTTGGTCATGCAAGCAAAAATAGCTATAAACTCATTACCTGGGCGCCTCTCTGGGTCACCATTCTGCTAAACACCTCAAAGGTTTTTTCATATACTAACAATGAATGAAGATTTTGTTTAGGCTCTCATCTCAACCAGTTACTCTAGTCTTCCTTTCTACAGGTGTTGCAATCTTGCCAAGCTTTTGCTCATTCATGACACTACTGCAAAAAATCATTTTCCTAGATGACATTTTGGTTACAGTACCTGCTCTGTATGTAACCTTCCTCATAATGTCCCTGTCACATTAAGTAAACTACCTTCTCCACTTCAAAAATCCCTCCCAATATCCCTCTTCCAATCTATTGGTTTTCATTCATTCACCTTTTAGCATTCACCTCTAGTAAGCTATACTATTAGCTCCTCACTCATATGCACAAGTTTCCTAGCAGACATCTTTGAACTTTCTTTCACTTCCTTGAGTGGAGCTTCTCATTAACATCTGCACGGTTAAGTCCTTGGTTCCCCCTCAACCCCTGCCTAGAAATTTTATCCTCAGTATTTAAAAGCTACAGCATAACTAAAAGGCTCTACACAGAATCATATTTTTTTTCAATTCAGTTTTTTATCAGTTGTAGAACAACTGAAGGAGCTAATACTAATACCAGCTACATCATGATTTCAATTGAGTGTTCAATGCATGAGTTTTGCTGAACATCATTTACAGAACTAGAATATGAATGGCAAGTTCTCCCAGACTGGAGCTCAACACCTTGCAACAGACAGTGGTAAACATAAGTTATGTGGGGAACCAAAACAATCCACATTGCCACTACAGAAGAATAAGGAAGTGTTTAATTGCTTGATGCTGCTCATAGAACAATTTACACTGAATTTTCCACTGCAGTCTTTCTCCTTAGCAGATAACACCCTTCATATTCTCAGCCAAAGTCTTTTATCATATTCACTTGCACATAACTTATTTAATTGTGTAATACATTACTTTCCCATTATAAACAGAAAAGGTCACATACTTCTCATTAAATATATTAATCTAAATTTAATTTATGTGATGTTCAGTATTTCCCCAAAACTAAAAAAAAACTTTTAAAGTCAGCATAACCAAACAAATCCTACTCACTCTGTATCTATTTATTAAACAAAATCTCTGTTGAAAGGAAAAAATAAAAGAAATGGATACCCTTATTTAAAAATTAGGCAAAATAAATTACATAAAATGGCTGTCGGTAAAATAATTTTGTTTAATCCCTGCTTCCTCCTAAAACAAGAACTGTAGCATATTTCTCCATCATCAAAGATCATAAAGTTAGCAACTCACTCTTTCTAGCTATTTGTAATTAAAATTCCTTTTATGTGTCTATATGGGTTCACAGAAGCGCACACATACAAATGTCTCTATCCCTGACACGAGTGTTGTGGTTAGAAGTGAGCTATGTTCATTTTTACAGTCAATAGTACGAGTTCAGTCTTTGATGACTGGTTCATGATAGAGATACACAGAGGAAAGCCAACAGCCAAGGTCAGTATTATTTATTTTAACAACATAACAAACTACCATCATGGATCAGTAGCTATATAAACTAAATGAAAACTTACAGTTTGTGCCAGCTAGGACATAGGAGGAGGACAGCAGAGAAGAATACAATGGTGCCATGTGCCATGACAAGATAACTAAATAAAAAGTACTTAACAGAAACAGACTGGTTTTGCCAAACAATTAAACTAGCCTCTTCTTGATTTTCAAAGTCTTCATAGGAAGCCAAAGGTCATATGGAAACCCACCCTTCCCTTTAGAAATATGTGACTTTAGAAACCTCAGTTTATGTATAATAAACACAGCCTACCAGGGCTTTCTGCAGAAAAACCCTCTGCTCTTATTTTCCCCTTGTTATCCTCTGCTCAATTATGATCATACAATTATTTTGATACACAAACCTACGCTCTTATGCTGATGGTACTCACTGTCTACCTTGCTACAACTTGGCAAAGGAAGATACTCATGCTGAGCTCTCTCCTCAATTACTTGTCCCCAAAGGGGAGGCTCCACACGTTAAATCATCTTACAGGATTATATTTCTGGCACACTATACTCTGTGATGGAGCACACCTACGCAAATGGTTGCAAGACTGTGCAGCAGGTTATGTGGTGGGGTAAGGCCTCAGCACGATGCTCCAACGAGTGATCCTTGGAATTACAAGTCTCGTGGTTTGTTCTCTTTCACTATGGGGCTGCACTATTCACAAATCACACTAAAATCTGGAGCATGGCTTTGCAGACTTGCACTCCCCAGCTGTGCACCACTGGAAGAAAGAGGAATGAGTTGCATGGATGCTGTAACAGGATGATTTAACAGTTCTGCAATATGCTGGCTGCTGCACCAGCCTCTTCAAAACTGTTCTTTATTCTTTAGGAACAGGAGTTCACTTTCTGGACTTGCTTCAGTTTGGCAAAAGGCATTTGTACCATTTGATCCCATTTGCATCCTCAAACACAGTGTCAGGCAAAGGTCAAGATCTTGTCTTCTACATAAAGGTGAATTTTGCCCATAATAAATATTCCTGATACTGGAACTATATATTACAGTGTTTTCACTCTTACTAATTTTGAATATTAAAATACAATAAAGTCTGAATTAAGAAACAATACTGAAAGTACATAACAAAACCTTGTCATTTAATCATATAGAACTAGTCTTTATACGCTCCTAATCCATTTATAACCCCCACGTGATCCATAGTAATTATAGGATAGCATGAGAAAATGGCTTCTCAACATCTGTAAATTATTTAATTTCTGCCCTTGTATGCAATAAATGTTTTTTAAAAATATATTTCTTTTCTATCCATTCTTGAAATTAAACTATTCAAGCTATATAAATACCAAAAAATGAAGTTCCTCTAGTAGCTCCGATGCTTCCTTCATGTATACAAATACATTTAAAAGCATGAACTGATTTCCTTTCTTCCAACTTTTACTCTAAGAAATGCATACAGAAAAATATGAGATCCTTTGAAATATACTTGGTTGTACAATAAAGGTGGGTTTTGTGTGAGGTTTTTTTTTAATTTCACACACTTAAGGTTTCTTAATTACCATTAAGCTCCAATAAAACCCAAGTGACAATACTACAGACATTTTTATTGAATTCTATCTAGGCTGCTTTGAAGATTACTTTCTGTCATCTTTCCTTCACATTTCAGGGTAAAAAACACACTACAACTAGGCATACATGCGCTGCACTGTCTAGATGATGTATGTTATAACATGAATTATAGCTGTAAAATTAGTATCAGAGAAGTCTTACCGTGTCTGTTGTGAAAATGTTAAAACTCAACATTAATTCATATACCGAGTAACAAGCAAAGTGTTCCAAGAGAATAGCTCATTTAGAAGAAAACCTCTGCATTCTAACAGCATGATACCATGTTTATAGGCTGTTAATACTGGAGCTCACTGCTTTCAGGGAAAACAAAAATATGGAAGAATGAGTACATGTGGAAGGAGGGTCAGTGGGGAAAAGAAGAAATATAGCTTTAAATCTTAGCCACAGGGCTTCCACAGAACATGGTTTAAATTGACCTCAGACAGAAACAACAAACACAGCTTGCTTAATCAACTACATCTGCATGTGAAACTTTAAGAAAGGCCACACTGCTAGAGGTATTCAATTCAGTAATCAAAGCTACAAAGCGCAGGCCTTGCTCTGGTTCAAAAATGCTTGAGCTCTTATCACCTGCTGCCATAAAAAGCATTGGAAGGGAGTTGTATAAGGATCTATGATGCTACAGCACAAAGACATCCTGCAAACTGGTCACCTTCTAAAGGAAAACCAATTTGTTTGAAACTGCAAAACAGATATTTAATTCTAATTTAAGTATACAGATCATACATACATATACATACATACACACACACACAGAGCTGCCACTTCCAGTGGAACTACCAAATACTTTAAAAACAAATAAAAATTCCTGAAGTTCAAAAGAAGTCCACAAAATTAAACAAGTAGAGGATAACAGAATCTATCACCATGCACATTAATACAACAAGACATTTCTCAAATGCACAAAATAATATGCAAACTGTGTCCGTGAATGCTCGAAGTAGTCCATGATCAGCAGGCAGAGCAAGAAAACCATGATGCTGCATGCTGGCAAGAAAGAAAGAAGGTAATAAAAGCAAAATGCTGAGGAAAAGAAACCACAATGCAAAAGCAAACAAAAGAAACCAAGTCACAACAAACATCTCTCCTGTTAAGAGGTACACAAATAGCTCACTCTAGAAGCATGCAAAAGCACCAATTCTTCTTACAAGCCGTGTATCTTTTATCTACCAATTTTCCACTCCAAATCTGCTTAAACCCTCACATGCAGCTCTCAAACATCATCTTTACTACTTCAACTAAACTCACTGTTCAAACTGCTCAGATCTGAGCATGCAGAAATTTTATTTGGATGTTTTCGAGCACAATCAATTTAATATCTGTGCTGTTGATCCAAAGTCTGAGTTAATTCACTTTCTGGACATACCCATCTGACTGAGGAACAGAGAAACTTTTGAATACTACAAGTATTTCTGGGACAAGTGCTTTTCTATACAGTCTATGATGTTTATGCATAAGGTTTAAAAGCATTTTAAAACTATAAGTTAAGACAAAGCTGTCCAGTTCAGCTGTGATTGTTTTGGCAGCAACCTCAACAATCATCAAATGTGCCTTTGTTTTTTGAAGCAAACTGAGCAATCAGATTTTTCCCAGGTTGCCAGGATTTGCATGAGATGCAGAACCGGGTAACTCTGTTTCTCCTCTCCTCCTCTTCCTTCAATAGTACACGTTCCTAGACAGGAGTTTAGTTACTGGCTTTTCCCAAAGACAAACATAATAGCTTGTAACAGAATTTACAGAATTGGGACTATAGGATTTTCTAATTTTTGTTTAAAAGA